TTTAAAAAAGTTTTATAAGTAGTATATTTCAATTTTATATGAAAATTTCAAAATACCATATAAAACTATATAAAAATAATTTACATATCTTTTACCTTTAAAGAATTTTGTAAAAAGTTATAAAAGAATTAAAATTATTTTTTGTTATAATTCTGTTAATTTTAAGTTTGTAAGCTTTTTTTTTAATTTTGTTTTAAAAAGAAGTGCTTTATAACTTTTTTCAAGACTATATAATAGATTAATAAGATACTTTGTAAAATATAATTAAAAACTTAATAATAAAAATCAAAGATTATTTTGGCAATATTAAACTATATTTGAAAATTACAAATTTAGAATTTTCAAAATATATATAAAATTAAAAACTAAGCAAGTTTATTTAAGACATTAAAGTTGATTATTTTAATAAAATAACTAGATATTAATAATTTTATTACTAATAGATTTTTAATTATTTTTATATAAAAAAGATTTATAAAAAGAATATTGTTATAGAGGATGATGATCTAAGTATAGTAGTTGGGTTGTTATCTTTCAAGTGACAGGTCTAAGTTCAAATTCTATCTATAATGAAATTTGAAAATTAATCTATATTACAGAAAACTGTCTTCTGTTAATTAGTTAGATTTAGGTATCTGTAATCTTAGGTATAACCAATTAGGTTTTATTTATTATTGGAAGCTTAAAACATCAATGCAAAATGTAATATTACATGTATATAGAAAAATATTAATAACCAGTATTATATAAGACTTTAGTACAAATCTATAATAAAACTACTAAATGCAAAAGACCAAGAAACTGAGAAAACAGAATTTTATTTAAAAATTTCCAAATAAAGAAATAACACAAACTTTCAATAATGTTATTGAACTAATAGAAGCTTAAGAAACCTCAATAAGAAGCAGATATATAATTAAATAATAAGATGTGTAGAAGAGCATATAACCAACTAGACTACTAGAATCATTAAAGAAAAAGAATACTAAAAAATATACTATATTGGGTTATTTAAATTTGAAATTCAAAAAATCTGTCAGATTCTAAGTTGGATAGTAGAAGAATAAAAAAAAATCAAAAAGATAAATACTAAGATTTGAATGAACTTTACAAGAATAAAAACAGTATAATATAATAGTTAAACAAATAACTTCTGTGACTGCAAGTGTTAAGTAATTATAATGAATTATATAAAACTAAATCAGTATATATAAAATATAAAGATTCTAATAAGTTTTTTATTAAGAATAAAATAGTTCTAAGGTACTGATGAGCATCAAGAACTTGAATAAATATAACTTTGAGATGTTTCTATAATACAAAATAAATTGCATATATAAAATGTTTAAATAGACAAAACTTTTAGTTGACTTATAAATATGATATTTAGTATAGAACTTATATAATAATATATAAACAAACTACTTAAATTAGGCATCAAAAATGCATATATAATTAGTTGTAACATTTTATATAAGAAAGCTTTTGTTGGCATTTGTGTTCTATAAACTTGAATAAAACAGTTATAACCTAAAGATAGACTTTAACATAAAAAAAAAAAATATATTGTTATTTGTTAAATATAAATTTTACTTAATAAAAAACTATTAATAAAGAACTTTATTACTGTTTAATTAAATAGATTTTAATACTTTTTGCATATTAGATTGATAAAAATTAGTTTGTTAGATACTAACTTCTTTGTATAAACCTAAATGTTTAATATGTTTAATATTTTGTTTATTTTATTGTTAAATTGATACTTTTAGGTCACAATAGTTAGATTAGTGTAACTTTTAAATTTAGTTAATATTGCAATGTAGTGTAAAACCATAAATTAAAAAAGTTAATTAATTCTTTATTAATTTATAAACTTTTTTATACAAAGTTTTTTTTTTATTTCTAATAATATTAAAAAATTATGTAATTTGATTGGTTAATTATCATACATAAATTTACAAAAATTAACCAATCATATGACATTTTCTTAAGTATAAGCATGCCTTTTGGCTATATGGCATGCCCCATGTTCCTGTATCCTGAACCCTACATACAAATAGAGTTACGACCCAAACTAGTTTGGATCCCAAATAGTATTTACTAGGTTTCGCAAATTCCTCTAATTTGTCATAATGTCAAACACTTTATATTATTGCCAATAATCAGAATTTTTCCTTGCCTAAGACGCGCTCTTTTCTTAGAATTAGACTTACCTAGTAGTCATTGTTTTAGGTAATCTAGTAGTGGCTTGAATCGATTAGACCATAACCAGACAGCCAGTTAATAGCTAATCAACTGTACACTAGAAAACCGGTGCGTTTCGCTGGTAAGGGCTTTGAAAGTAAGTATTATTTTCAATTTTTTTCGAGTCCTTTATCAGAAGAGCTCTTGTCTGCGAAAACTTTGATTTGTACTGGATTGAATGATTTAGCCTCTCATATTCGATAAGACGAAATATTAATAAAATTGGAAATGAATCTTCTTGTGAGGGTTGCCAAGGGAATTTAGACTTTCAAATTTATTATTTACCAGATTCAGCCTGACGGCGACATGTGGGGGGGTGTCAATAGAAACCAAGCAAATCGTTTCTAAGTAAATTTTTTCAAACTTTAAAGTAAAATGTCTCAACAATTATTAAACCAAACTTGATAAAAATTTTTTTATTTTAACTTTATATAGTTATATAATTAAAATAAAAAAATTTTACCAAGTCTGGTTAAGATATTTTAATTTAAAATTTCAAAAAAACTCATTAAAAACCATTTGCTTGGTTTCTATTGACACCCATGTATTATAATTAAGTTTAAGTACTATCACTGTTATATATGCCGCTGATCAGGCTGAATCTGGTAATAACCTGAAAACTCGATGTCTTAACGGCATTCATATAATATTAAGAAACTCTTTTGTATTTATCGTAAATAGAGTTGACTGCTTTCATATGCGTATTTCAAGTCATGGGTAATTCATTTATCGATCGCTTACAAAGTTGACTAACAATGTAGAACTATATAAGGAATTGATTTTTATCAAAGGGTTTTGATCTTTTTAAGAACTATTAGGTACTACTATTCAATTTCGAAGGAAGCAAGCTTGGTTAAAGGTTTATTATTTATGATTCGAATTTTAATGAATATTAAAAAACTTTCATTTATAATTGTTTTTCATTCATTTATTGTGCACATATTCGATATAACCATTAGACCTACTTTAACATATCATTTTATTAATAGATCCTGCTTAGTCGCTAAATAAAAATAAAGTTTTAATAATTTATAGTATTGATTTAACAAATTTTATTGTTTTTAAATTTTACTCTATTGACTAAGAATGGACGTATAATTAGATTTTGGTTATTATCCCAAATGAAGTAGAAATCCCGATTTCCAAACCCAAACTATGTAGCAATGTCATAATTCAAAAAAGGTTTGGGTCGCAACCCTATTTACAAAGCATTCTTTCTTGTTAAATCGTCAAACCTTTTAAATGTATAACCGACGAAAGCTAAATCCTTTTGATTAAATTCACCAGTAGCACTTGAGGTGCGTTCTATACAAGACAATAACAAATTACTATAACATATTAATATGTATAACAAGGTATCATAATTGATATATGACGTACCAGTTGTCTGGGGAGTATCAGGAATCTTTTCCAGATCTTCTGTAGGGAAGTAACTAGTATCGGTAATTGATCTCAGATTAGGAACGAATGGTGCCTCAATATTACGAATAGTCTCCCAATCTACTCCAGCAAAGAATGGATGTGATCTAATTTCATCGGCACCACGTTGACCTAGACGGTGTTCAGGCGCACAGATAAGACTATGTGTGATAGAGTCATGTTGTAAATATGCGGAAATAATAATTTCTCTCATGTATGTAAAACAAAAATCTGATGTACCGCCGAATTAAATCCTCTGCCTCAGGGCTCAAATGAACATCATCAGGAAAGTACAATTGATCCCGCCAGTTAATAATTTTTCGGTAAGTTTCATGGGCGCTTTCACTACAGAATGGAGGATAACCAACCAGGCATTCAAACATAATAGCACCGAGTGACCACCAATCACATTCTTGGCCATAGCCCTGCTGTAGGAAAATTTCTGGAGCAATATAGTCAGGAGTACCTACAGTAGAATAAGCCTAATAAAATCGATTTATTCAGATTTTAATTAATGTAGAGAAAAAGGAACCGATAGAATAAGAAAGTGAATAAATAATACCAAAGCTCTTCGATTTTTTTTCCATGTAGCGATTCTGTCTTTACTTGACAATGTTAAGTTAATATTAGCTTCACTGCCTAATTGTCTATGACCAGCACTATTGAGATTTCCATCCAAAAGTCGTTGATAGTATTGAGAGTCATGTGTTCGGTGAAAGCCCGTGGAAAGACCGAAATCAGACAATTTAATATGACCATCTTTATCAATCAAAATATTATCAGGCTTAATATCTCTGAATTTGAATAAAAGTGCAATTATATGTATCACAATTTCGTTATGAATCCAGTGTATAAAACAAGATAAAATAAAAATAAAAATTACCGATGAATGAAATTTAATTTATGGATTGCTTCAATGGCCAGGACACATTCAGCAATATAAAATCTTGTTACATCCTCCGAAAACGTGTCGTATTTAATTAACATGGTCATCAAATCACCCCCAGGTAAGAATTCCATAATGAGATAAAGATATGATGCATCTTGAAAAGAATAATATAATTGAACCACCCATGGAGAATCCGATTCAGCAAGAACATCACGTTCAGCTCTAACATGGGCCAACTACATTATATAAGAACTCAATAACTTATTCTGCCGAATTTTTGGACCAGTAAATCAAAAATCGGATAAATCACCTGATCTTTCTTAAACATATCTGCTTTTCTTAACGTCTTCATAGCATATATTTTCCCAGTATCAGTTTTTTGAACGAGTCTAACCTGAATTCAATATTTTCCATGAATGCAAAAGTATATAATGAATCAATAGTATACAAATTCGTCTATTATTGATTTATTAAATAATGGTAAGAAATGCACACCTCACCAAACGCGCCTTTACCGATCACTTTGACTGTATCAAAATCTTCTAACCCCAGCCTTGTTCTTTTAAGCCTTAAAAAATTCGATTCCTTACGTCCAAGTGACTGAAGTTGCCTGTTCTTTCGTTCTTCCGAACAGTCCTCTTTTTCAAGCTTTTTTTCAAGTTCATTACGTCTATAAAATAGTTAATTGTTACATCAAAGATCTATGCTGTAAGCGCTAGGACGGACACTAAAAGGATTGAACACTTATACTATAATCTCGATATAAATTCCGAATCCGCAAGAACAACCGTTTTTAGCTGGTAGTGATTACATACCGGTCGTTTCGTTCTCTTGCCTGATCCAAAGTAACTTTATAAAAGTGTTCTAATTTCAATTTTGCTGCAGTAGATCTATCCAAAGTGCCTTTAGAAAACCCCTCAGTGGACCTATCGAAAACCACGTACTCTTGTCCATTACCACCACCATTGCCACCAAATCCGGAGCCTTGTGGTCCTGGGCCATAGTTTTGAGCACCCTGCATATCATAATCCATTTTTCTGATTCAGATGTGTATGCCAATTTGAGAAAGCGATCCTTAGAATATAAACTTGTGCTTAGACCTGACCAAGTTTTTTGATAATTCAGTGACACCGTGTTACTCGACTAAATGAACTCGGTAATATGCAATTTATGATTTGTTTATGTTTTAAACTCTAATTAAATCAGATATCATGTGGAAAAAAACGTGCTCAACTTTCATAATTCTGATAGTACTTCTTAAACATGGCTTCCAAAGATCAAAACAAGAACCCTAGTGAATTAACTGATTCTAACGATACTGAGCTTACTAAAAATAGACATATACCCAAACATAACCTAAAGCCTGTGGACGTTCAAAGGCAACAATTAGAAAAGTTATTGCAAAGAGCCGACAAACCAGTAACTATACCGGAGATCGATAAACCAAAATTAAAAGCTCCAAAAGATATTGTTAGAAATGTTCAAGGTAACATTTATAAATAACAGTGGATTATCAAAGAATTGAAAACAAATTTTATTTTAAAAATAGGTTCTAGTGCGGGTGCAGGAAGTGGTGAGTTCCATGTTTACCGAGCTCATCGCCGAAGAGAATATACAAGATTAAAAATCATGGAAGAAGAAGCTAGAAAGGTTTATTAATATACAATGTTATATAACTATCGCTAATTAAAATTTTTAGAAAATAAGAAATGCTAAATCTTCATTTAGGAAGAAGAAAAACGCGAATTCGAAGACAAGATGAAAGCAATTAAAGCAAAAGAAGACGAAAAGACCGCCAAAAGGCGAACAAAAAGGCAAAAGAAAAAACAAAAAAAGAAACAATCCGGCGATAAAAAACAAAAAACTATAGAGAATAGTGATGATGGAAATGATGAATGCATTGAATCAGATGAACAAGTAACTGAAAAAAATGACACCTTGCAGTGTAGCGACAAATAAACGTTTGTAAATAAATATTAAAATGAAATTAATAATGGACACTTTAAAATAAGTATATTTATTGTTATTATTATTATAAGCTTTACAATATTCAAAACTCTCATAATATATTAAATAATTAATTTTTCATCTACATTCTAGATTTCTCTAAAATTTTGGTTTTCTTTTTCGTGCTGTGTATTTTGAATCCAATGGTATATTTTTCTTTCCTCTCATACGCGCAACTTCTTTTTTATGCAAAACCCAATCCTTTTCTTTAATCGATTTACGTTGTTTACCTTTAGTTCTTTGACGTTCTTGAGTTCTTTAATAAAAAAAATTTGTTGACATTGTTAGTTTAAAGTAGTAAAACTTATTACTAATTTGCATCGATTAATTCATTTAAAAGAAAGTAACCTCTGACTAGAATATGCTACAACATTTGGTTCATCCTCTCCATCTTCTCCCAGAGCTTTTGGCATTTTTGGTTTACCATCTTCTGTAGGAATCTGGCCAGCAAATAAACAAAGAAAATACTTTTTTGCCTTTTTGCTGTTGGGGTAATCAATTACCAGACCACCTTCAAAGCCACATCTCATTGCTGTATTCATTAATAATTCACATTGATCATCATTTTCTGGATAAAATTGAAACACTGCTTTAGCACCCCGGCGTAGTGACGAATAAAGAGTCGAGAAAAAGCGTGTGAGACGAGATTTAGGGTTGTGTGAACTACGATCTGCGTTACATAACCATTGTATAACTGAAACACTATACGTGATTATTAGATTATTGAAGGGCATTATCTGAAATGATACTATGGTAATTAATTACCTTATAGCCCCGTCAAATGTACCTGGGCGAAACCCCATTCCCTGACCAACATCTTGTAAGAACAGATCACCTTCAACCTCACGGTCTAATGCAACCTCTGCTCCAGTGCAATACGTATATATAAATATTAAACTTAAATAATTTAAATGTAGAATTTATAGTGGGACATAATTCTGTAATTGTTCTACTCACGTAACATAGCCGGAGAAATATCCATTCCTACCCACATGTGACCTTCTTCATCTAAAATTTCACCACTTAAACCCGATCCACATCCAATATCAAGTAAATAAGCTGGTTCATCTTCTGGTAAATTTAATAATTCAAGAGCCCTATATGTCTGTTGTTAATATAATAATTTAATGGATCTGAAGGTATTTGGTATGATCAAAGTTATTTCATAAGTACCAGCTCTGCCTGAACACTTTGTATTCGAGTACTAAGCAATAAAAATATGTTATTAAGAGTCAATTGAAATAGCGCTAATAAAACCGAATTACTTTGAGGTATATTTCTTTGCTTCAGCGTCGTTGTAATACTATTACTCAGTAAATAAGTAATCAGAAAATTTATTTTATTGACATAATTATTGTGATTTAATTGATAAATAATTATGTATTTACAATTTCTGGTGGTGCTTGGTGTTCCGGTCGAGACATTATTTTAACGTTAAGATGCTCGATTTAGATTGATTGTAGAAATACGGAAATCTCGAATTTCCATTGGCTGAAAATTGTTTATAAAATTAGATTATCTAATAAACATTCACCAGAAACAATAATGGGATATCAGACTTTAGATATAGCTTTATCGTTCAAAAATAATCTTGTTCCATTAAAAAGATCTATTATAATAACCGATACATTATCAGCACAGGGAAACTTTTTAATTCATCACTTTATTGTGAACCAGATCAAAGCTGATAAGAACGTTGTTTTGGTAGGCTTATCACAACTTTTTAACCATTACTTAAACATTGGAAAGAAATTGGTAAGACGACGGATATTGCAGCGTCATGCGTTGCTTTTGAAATTGACACATTTGATTGATATCATTATTCTTATTTCGATTGTTAAGGGTGTGAACCTAACATCTGCCTCTCAAAAAGGACGATTTTCGTTTATAGATGGACTGACTTCTTTAACGTCAAATTCACCCACAGTCACATCATTTCCGACTGCAGTGCTGACTCCTTTATCAATAACCAATTGTGCCAAGGAAACTTTATTAAATTTTTATAACACCATTAAAACAATTATAACGACGCACCACGCGTCAACGGATTCAAATGTTTTATTAATATTTGATGATTTGAGTGTGTTGATTTATTCTGGATTTAAAGTACGTGACGTTTTAGAATTCTGGGGAGCTTGTCGTGTATTAATAGAAAAGGTGACTAGTCTTCATCAATTCGATTCAACTTGACGTGTTTGAATAATTCGAGTTTCCATCTTTACTGAATTATATACACCTTCCTTATAAAGTATAATGGAACACTAGTTTCTCTAATTCACACCGATGAAGTAGCAGAATCATTGAGCACCGACAACATTGACTTTGATGATGAAATTTTCATAAAGTCTTTGATATATAGATCTGAATATATACTTTCAGTGCGTGGTTTAGAGTCTGGATTTAGTAGAGATGTATCTGGCGAGGTAAGTTGCGACTGATCTGGTACTTACATAAGAACTGACACGTTCACCCTTAATTATATCATTGAATGTCATTATTTAACAAGATAACTATCGCTCGTGGCCCGAAAAACTTTGAAAGATGGTTTAGACCTTCCACCTTACATTATAAGATACTAGATAATAATGTACAATTTTTTGCTAAAGGATTTTCTCAAGGCGTCTTTTAAGAAAAATCGGAATGGTAATGTTGTGAATGGTCAAGCGATATAGTATAATAGAATCGCATCAGTGTAAAAAAAAAAGAAATTAATGCACGCATGTGTGGAACAAACACGTGATAATGAGTGCGCGTAACATTCCCCCAGTGCTGTCGATAAAAAAGATCGACAATTTTCTAATAAATCTCAATACCTTATAAAAGATTAACTGGTCAATAAACAAAATTTTGGTGATTACAAAAAGTTGTAACTATATGAAGACCAAAAATTTATATGCTTTATAATAAAAAATGTGATTATCCCTTAATCTGTAGAGCAGGCAAATTTGCCTGCTAAAATTAAAAAAAATATAAAATTTTTAATGAAATATAAAATATTGATTTTAGTAATATATTTGCTGTATAAATAATTTAAAGTAATATTTATTTTATTAATTTATTAAAAAACATTTTAAATTATTTAAAAGGTTTATCAAAAAATTTTTTTTAAAAAATAACGATGATTTTAAAATAATCCTTAACTGTAGAAAATTCATATGATTGACTAATTTATGTCGATCAACCAATCAAATTAAGCAAGGAAAATTCAACATACCGATACTACAATAACTCCTATTAATTACATTTTATTTTCAGTTATCACAACCTTTACTAGAAACGAATCATGACCCTTAGTTTATATAATTAACGAACTAATGCTACTCATACACATCTATAGATCTGATATTCAACTTTCCACATCCCCGGTGCACAATTTTATGTACTGCTACTTAGCGATTTAACTCTAATTAATACACAAGAAACAAGTACTAAGTTTATTATTATTAAATTAACATGTCAAACTTCTTTAACAGTTAAGATTAAAACTTTGTCTTTAAATATCTTAAATCATATTTAATATATATGTATAGCTAACATAGATAGTAGATATTTGTCTTCTATGTCAGTTTTCAGATCTGATTTTTTATTAGTGAAACGTTATTCTAAAGAAGTACTTTAAAGTGTTACCCGAGTAATTGAATAAATTTTTTCGTCGGTCCTATCAGATAATTTCGGGAAAGTAAAGTTTCCATGAGTGATACCGGATAAAAATAAATTGCAAAAACAGAATAATTGGCATAATTGACGCTCAAAAAAAAAATAAAATAAAATAAAAATTGAAAAAAAATGGGTTAGTGGGTAATGTAAAACGAAAAATCAAGTTTGCGTGGCCTAAAAACAAACAATATTATCCTATGAACTGTAGAGCAGGCAAATTTGCCTGCTAGTTTTAAATAGTGAAATGATAGTCAACAGCATGGTTGAAGATCCATTTGATTGGCCAATATGTTACACGAATTTTACATATACATAGATAGGAAAAGTGCCATCTTCGCTCATAGACAAACTAGTACGTCACAAATTAAGTACGTGTGAAACTTTATAGTCGCTTTGGTTATTAGTTCTTTTACTTATTAGAAAATTTAATCAAGTATAATCAGATTCAACAAAGACTTTTATAATAACGGTATTTTCAAAAAAAACACAGTTTAGCAGGTTTAGTGAAATTTTACTATTATTATTTGAAGTCAAAGCTTCGTACACTCTTTATAATTTTACATACGTACCTAAAAAACAATTATACTTACTAAGAACTTATTGTCAAAAAAAATTTAAATCAGTTGTTTCGAAACATAAAGCTTTAAAATTAAAAACCTTTATTAATGATAAGTTTTATTTTATCAACTATTCATTTCTCTAATTTTATTTTACAAATTGAATTCTAAATTTTGATCAATTTCCAGTTGATTATCATCTTCCTTGTCCAAATCAGTCTCATCTGTGTTATCTGGTTTGTCAATTAGTTTTCTTGTCTCTTTATTTGTCTTTGTAGTTAAATATTTTAAAAATAAATTAATATTGTGTTAGATACCATTTTTAAAATAATTTAAACAGGATTTACACTTGTTATCCATCTTTTTGTAGCATTTTATGTGGTATTCATACCTGCATATTAAGACAATTTCCTTATTAATAATTAGTTTTGTATGGCAATAATCATAGTTATTAAATAATAGGAGTAATAAGATATTATATTCAAATAACATACTTGTTGTTTCTAATTGTTCTAAAGTAGAAAAATCATAAATGGTCTGTAAGTTTTTTTTAGTCTGTTTTTCTTAAAAATGAAATTTTGTTATTAATTAAACTTGTATATTCATTTTTTCTATAAATTTATCGAAATTGAGAAAGAAAAAAAAAAATGTCATATTAGTTAAAAATTTTAAATCTTGTAAAGAATATAAATATTTAGTTTTTGTTAAAATATTTCATGAAAGGTTGAATCTTTATGATAGTTCAATATGAAGACTTGTTTTTGTATATTTTCAGCACTATTATTTAATGTTGTTATTGCTTATATTCTGTTATATATCTTTTTTACCTAATAGTTATTAAATTAGATTAAAATTTTTTCTATAATTTCTTTCATTATATGTTTATTCTTTTTTCAATAAAATATATCTAACAAAAAGACAATTAGTGTTTTATTATAATTCTTTCACTTCCAATGTAATGCAAAGGTCCAAATATGAAAAATTATTTTTATGTAGTTTTTAAAAGCATTAGACTGAAATAGTAATATGCAGACATCAAAGGTTATTGGTACAATATTATCAAGAAGTTTTATAATTACTTGATATTTAATATTTTTTTGCAAATGAGTAACTTTTTTTATTATATCTTCTTTAATTTTGATTCATGCAGAAAATACTAATTCTAATAAAAGATTTGTTTTTCAGAAACTAAACTTTTTTGCTAGTTTATTTTTTCACCAAATACATTATAAAAGAGCTTTTCAAAAAATGAATAGTAAATTTTTATTATATGTATACTCTCAAGTATTAAGAGAAACATGCAATGGTTTATGAAAAAAAATAAAAAATATTATTTTTAATTATACTGACAAGTTTTTATTTTTATTATATAAATTCATTAATGCTTTATAAATAAAAAGTTGACTTAACCAATTCACAACAAATGGCATTATATTGTTAGTAAGGTAATTTGTTTCTTTTTTATATCTTAAAATCATATTTAATGCATTAAGATAATCTTATACAAAATGAAGTTACTATTCCTTTATATCTACTAAAATTATATCTTTTAATTTTTTTTTTTATTCTATAATAGTATTATTATAGATATGTACTGTAAGTTAATCAAATTTATCAAATTCAAATAAATTTAAATTAGTCTACTGGGCTTTATGTTATGAATATGACAGATCAAAATAATTTTAATATTGATTTATAAGTTTTTTTTTGCAAATAAGCAGAGTCTTGATATTATTTGAATTATAGACTGATATATCATTAAACATAATTGATACTGTAATAAAATTTACTAAAAACTAATAAACTGTAGTAATTTTAAATACACGAATGCTGAGTAAATAATCTTTTATTTAAAGAAAAATAAAATAAATAAAAATAAACAAAAATAAAAAATATATATATAAAAGTAGAATTTAAATTTAATAGCCTTCTAGGTACTATAAGGTACAACAATAAAACTAGTTTTTAAACTAATCCTACTGTCCAGTCTGTACAGATCAGATATAACAAAATATTTATTCTATACAAGAATTATTAGACTTTAAAACTTAGAAATATTTGTAAAGCATAACTAGAAAAAGAAAAACCTTAATAATCAGACTATAAACAGCTATATGTGGTTTTTAAATTCAAATAAGATAAAGCTAGTATTTATTAAATAACTAATTAAAAAAACTAACTATTTACTTTATATTATTATAAAAAAAAGAAGAAGAATAAAAGAATAATATAAAGTTAATATTTGCCAAATAACTAATTAAAAAAACTAGCTTTTTATTTTATATTATTATAAGAAACAAAGAAATAAAATAAAAGAAATAAAGATAAAATATAGAAAAAAATAAAATAAAAAATAAAATAAAGAATAGTTTTTATAAATAATATTTAAAGAATAGTAGTTAAAGGTTATTTTATTAAAGAGTTTTTGATTAAATAATTATTACAAGAAGCTTTTTATATATATAAAAGCAAAACTTCTAAGAACTGTTAAGAGCTGTTCAAGAACTATCCTTTTAGAAGAGTAAAAAGCTATCCTTTTTATAGCTTTTAACTTAATAATTGATTGGTTTTAAAGCTATCATGTATTGTAGCATCATCCTGGACCATATGGACATCCAAAATGTAGCAGAAATTAAGAAATTCCATGTGCATTTTACTAATAATACTTGTACACAAATAATAAACCAATTCTGTATCTCTATATTTTTACCAATACTTGATATTCTATTGTGCAATAATTTATATATTAAGTAAAAATAAAACAAATATTATTGTGTAGCCCATATGTTTATCTACAGAACTCTTTATAATTATTTAGTATTCAGAAGCTTCTTACAGGTGTTGTCCTAAGTATAACTAAAAACAACTATAATAGTACATAGAAACTATATAGTAACACTATAATAAATATTGCATTATAATTAATAAATTAACAACAATGTTGTTATTTGTCTATACTATTGCACGATTCTGGGTTATGCTATTACGCTGCTTTTAATTTTGACCTGCAAAGCAGATTAAAAATAAAAGCAAAGTGACAAAAAAAAAATAAAAATTATTATATATATTATATATGTATATACATATGTACATATATATGTATATATGTACTAAGTTATGTATATAATATAGTGTGATTCTGGGTCACACAATCAAGCTCACTTTTTGATCACAGATCAAAAAATGAGTATTACAAAAAATATATATGTATGTATATAACTGATAAATAATTAATATATATACATATATATATATATACGCATATTATATATATGTATCTATAAATAGTTAATATATGTATATACGTATATAAATAGTTTGTATATCATATATATGTAATATAATGGCATATGCGTAACATAACAACATATATATAACATAGTAATGTTTGTGTAACATAAAACATTTTGTATATACAATATATAAATTAATTTACTTTTATAGATTAAAATTAAAATAAATAAATATGCACTAATCTATATAAATAAAATAAATAAAGTTTTATAGTATACATTTGTTGAAAAACTTTTTTTTATTAAAAAAAATCTAATTCTTTAAATTTTTTTAAAAATTTAAATATTTTTTCTATATTCTTACTAATAATTTATTATTTATTTATTATTTAAACAGATTATAATTATTAAATTAACTAAAAAATAATAAGTTTAATAAAAAATTTAATTAAAATTTATTAAACATAATAATAATTTTATTAAATTTATTAAAATTTAAAAATAAAAAAAGAGGTAAAAAGATTTATAATTAAAACCAAAAATATTAAAAATTTATATTATTTATTTAATTTATATTGTATTTTCTTTATAAATAATACAAATAATTAATTATATTATAGGAAATTATATTTTTACCTGGATTAAAGTAACCCAACATGTGATCTAAGCTACTGGATGCAAAATTGACAAAAGTCACATGACCACATTTTTTAACACTGGCCAATCAAATACTAGCCCAATTAAATCCTTCTTGTAAATCACATGATTACATTTTTTAACATCAGCCAATCGGATATCAAGCTAATTAAATTCTTGTATCTTTTACATGATTCGTACTATAGCATATCAATAAAATTGAGTAAATGAAAAATACTACTCATATCTAAAAAAAATTTACCTATAACTTCAACATTCTAGTTAAACCTTTTTTTACTAAGGCTTGATCTTAATTAAAATACAGTATTAGTAATTTTAATTGATTAAAGTCTATATATAGTATGTATGTATATAAATGCTTGAATCTAGATTAACCATAATATATGATATTCAGATTTAAAATACTATTCAGGTTTAATAACGATATCTGGATTTAATGTTAAATATACTGTAATATCTCAGATTTAATTTGTCAAGAAAGAGCAAGTATATACAAGTAGTGATTGGAATCAGTTTAATCGACTAAACTCGATTCCAATCCCTATTACATAATATATAAATTACTTCTGATTTTAAGACCAGTCATTTTTTTTCAATCAACTATAATGAAAATCCAAGTTTGATATTATTAGGTTTAACGTTAAAGATCTGGCTTTATACATGTGTATGCATTGCAAATCCACAAAAAGAAATGAATAATACTAGAAGAAACCTCAAAATTCCTTTTGAAATGATATGCAATTACGATTGAAAATGTAAAGCATAATTATTTAAATTGACCGATTTTTGCGTCTTTATTATTTTGTAATATATGCATATATACAACCCTTTTAACAATATTCTTAGAGTATAAATGAACAAAATATATAAGCTCAAATGCATAATACATGTAATAAAAAGAACTTATAGCATAATTATACAGTGAATACTTAAAAAAATCTATAACTAAATACATATAAGTCAATTCCAAGCATCTCTAGTCTAAATAAGCAAAGAAATTTACATGTACATATGCAATGAACGGATATAAAATTAGATGTATCAAATTTATCTCATGCAATATTGATACATATACTAAGCAATTAATAAACTCTATTTTGCATTTGTCACTATGCATAAGAAAAATTAAAAGTTAATACGTACATATGTATAGAAAACATTAATTGACAGTAATAAAAACAGTAATATTTTAATCTTATTTGGACAACTTCTAGAATTATGTCTACTATCACTACAAATGCCACATATATATGTCCTCTTAGTAGTGTGTTTTGCATCTGTTTTATTTCATCTTGTACCTTTCAGTCTTTCTTTAGTTTTGGCATTTGTAGGATCTTGGATATCAGCTTGTGATAAGGGAAATTTACTATTTAATTGATCCACAAAAAGAGCAAGGCTACTATTGATTTTAACATGACCAACTCTATTGCATATTATCTCAATTTCTTTAAGTAAATCAGCAGTACTTTTAACTATTGATTGATTAATAGGCATTTTATATGCTTCATAGTTTGGAGATGATGATATATCATTTAACGAACTATTCCTATTCATAAGATTGTATTGTTCCTCAAATTGTTTCTCAAATTGTTTCTCAAATTGTTCTTCAAATTGTTCCTCAGATTGTTTCTCAAATTGTTTCTCAGGTTGATTCTCAAATCATTCCTTAGATTGATTCTCGAATTGTTCCTTAAACTGTTCTTTGGCTTGCACTATATTATTCACATTCATGAGTGGAATTATTCAATGATTGCCAACATAATTAATGCTTACAGGTTTCTTATAAAAAATATGGATAGCAATAATATAGTGGCATAATAAAGAAAATTGTATACTATAATTACAATCACAGATTAAACCTATTTCATTTTTATATACTATATGTACTCAATTTTTATTAAAAACTTTAAATGAATTAATTTCTTGTTTTTGAATACTGTAAGCATTAGCTCCATTATATTGATTAAGTAATAATGCATAAGTAAAATCAGATATGACTGTTAAGACATTTTTTAATAGATCAGGGCATTGTTAGCGAGTACTTCCCTGGATACGATACTGTTGATATTGAGAACTTTGAACCTGATGACTATACAACCTTTCCAACATGTTAATTAATTCAGACAAGAATGCCATGTGACCAAGTAGATGTTTCAAATATGCATTAGTTGCTTTTGAGCATTGTGTAGTTCTTATACTGTAATTAACATTCTTATTTGTATAGCAATATGCTCATATATAAGTAATAGATTTCCACTGTTCTATATAATTACTTGTCTTAGGATACTCAACTTGTAGGTGACCCCAAAGGATTTCAAATTGTTCTTTATTAGACTCTGTCATCAATGCTTTAAAATCTTGCTAAATGCAATGAATTTATCATTAAGCTTGCTAGTCAAATTTTTGACAATGTTCTATTCAATGTGCCATATACAAATCTGATGCTTGACATATAGCAATTTAGATCGAATTGTAGAAAGTAAAGCAAGGTTCTTATCTGTTAAAATTGTCTTAATTTTATAAATTATCACGTCACCTACAACTTGCTTTAATTGATTAATTACGCAGAAGAAACTTGATACAGTCTTATCAACAAGAAGTCCACTAGCAATAAGAAATGTAGTACTCATAATATCGACTTCACTAATTAATAAAAGAGGCATTCCAAACTGATTGGTTTTGTATGTAGAATCTATTAGCACCACTTCTGGATAACATTTGAACATTGTAAGTGCTGAATAAGTAGTAAAGAACAGACAATGAAGTTTATTATTATTAATTGAATATGTAATTACATAGTCTTTTTTATTATATAAATTACTCAATAGCTCTGCTATTAGAAGATAAGAAAAAAGGATCAGGCATTGGAATTCTGGTAAATAAACAATAGGATAAACATATAGGTGCAGTTAGGAAAATAAGTGAATATATGATGGAAATTACACTATACTTTAAGCAATTAGAGTTAGTAATAATTTTGGT